TGAGATTGCTCTGAAATGAATCAATTTTTGGATTTCTTTCAAAGCATTTTCTGTGTTTTGAAGCCTGGAGTGCATTTTGGGTACCTTAGCATACTCCCAAAGCTGGAATTTTGCTGTTAAATATTTCCTAGAAGAGCATTTTGGTTTTTTTTTTTTTCCCCACAGTTCACCTTGACTTCAGGAGCTGGGAATTAATATAAGCACCAAATATCCTGATACTTGAGATAAAATAGTGAGAGTGGGTGCTCACTGCACAAGGCCAAGGTGACTGGAGGTCAGAGCTGACAATTACTGTAGGGCTGGAGCCCTCCTCACTGCCACAGCATTCCTGATGCATTGCAGGGACTCCTGCAGCCTAAATGTGCTCCTGGGGCACCTCTGTGGAGGGATCCTGCCCTGGAGAGCAGGGCTGGTCCTGCCTAAGCCTCTGCCAAACCAACGCTCCTCATCTTGTCTTGCTTATTCTTAGGGCAACTGTGGATTTCAAAAGAGGAGAAACAGCAACAACAAAAAAAAAATTACCCAGAGATTTGACTACTGAGGAAATCTGGCTTTTTCCCCCAGTTAACTGCTCCAAAGTATGGACATTTTCAGAGATTACCAGTTTGCTGAATACCATTTTCTCCCCTGTGCTCAATCCCAAGTACCTTTTCATTCCATGGCCTATAAAAGAAGACTAATCCACAAACTGAAAGGCAAACCCTTTCTCCTCCTAAGTCTTGGGGCAGGGAATAATATTCAGCAAGAAGCAATTGCACCCAAACTGCTGCCTGAGGCCTGATCCCTGCAGGATGAGAACTCAGCGAGTGATAAGTTTCCAAATGACCTCTGTCAGCTGCTAAAGAGAAAAAGGAAAGACAACAGCAGCCCCGGTGAGTGGGAAAGGGCAGCTCCTGCTCAACGTGATGGGATCCAGGCATGGCAGAGAAGAAAAGTGTCCTTGCATCCCCATCTAGTGGCTCTGGGTAAAATAAATCCGTGGTGCCTGGTTGGGACCTGCTCTACTGCGCTACTGCAAATGCACATCGCTAAATTCCGTGTGCCAAAGGCGCTGGGTTTATCTGTTTGTGTAAATGTTCCTCAGGGTTTGAGAGATGACAGAACGCCAATGGAAAAGAAGCTTTGACCCAGCTGTCAAAGAAGAGTGAATTTAGCTGAGGTTTCTCTTTTTGAGAGTGGGACAGACCAGAAATGTTCACAGAACAGCCAAATCCTGTGAAAGGTGAGCGTCCCCCACTGGGCTCAGGCCCACTCTTACACTGCTGCTTCTCTCTGCTTCCCCATGGAAATGTGGTTCATCATCCTATGTACATTTCAAGAGATATTCCAATTTTTCTAACACATTTTTGCCTGGCAGAGCGGCTTTTCCTGGGATGTTTGGCTGCTTGGAGCATTCAGATCCCTTCAGTTCAGATGGGGTGTGATGGCTGGGCTCAGTCTTGCTTTACCAGCAGGTGAGTAAAAATAATTTAAATTCTGATCCTTCATTTCCTGCCCCACTCAATTCATCCTCCTGAACTACAAAAACCTCCCAGAGACCAGTCTCCAGCCTCATTATTTGCCCTGCTGACTTTGAGCTAGGATAAAATCTCTTTTGCTGGCAATTCCTCATATTTTGGTACAGCAGGATTTGCAAATACCCCTGTTTTAGAGTGCTGTTCCCGTTGGATGTGTTTGATCCTGCTCATGCTACTGGCAGCAGCACAGGTACAGCCACAGAAATTTAAATTCCAAATGTGCTTTCCTGGCTGAAGACTTGTGAGTTTTTGAGGGGTGAAAGGCACATTTTACCATATCTGTCTTTGCTCTCAAAGACATATTTTTTTGAATACTGGGTGGGTTGTAGAGCAAAGCGGATCTTCACCTTGAATCAAAGAGTCTTTTTTGCAGGCAGCCACATTGGACTTTCCCTCTGCCCTTACCTTGGCTCTGTAATTACAACTACATGAGTTAGGACCTCTAGTCAAATGGGTTGGAAAGGGTAATTTTAAAAGGTCTGGAAGAGCTGTACCAGGACCCAGGCTTTAATAAAAAGGCAGGAAAGATTGTGTTAAAAAAAAAAAATTAAAAATAGCACCAAGACACAAATACTTCAGGTTTTTTGGGAGGTTAAGCAGAAATATGTCTGGAGCCCAGCAGCAGTGAGGGCTGCTGCCCCCAGAGAGGGATGGGTTCTGCTTCTGCAGTGCCTTTTTTTCAGTATTTATCAGAAATTGTGTTCTTTTCTCCATAGGAAAATATCCTATATAAACATATTTTTAAAAATACTGTTGCTCAAAGTCCAAAATCTACTGCTGCCCAGGATTAAAGGATTAAAGAAAAACAACATTTCTTCCCTTAATTAGAAATCTTGTTGTTAACTGTCAGAAAAATGGGTGCTACATATTTGCTGCTTATCCTTCTCTCTACCAGAATTTGGTTGATGGAGAATAACATGTTTGCATGGAATATTTCACCTAGGAGAGTACAGAAACTACAGTGCTTGAGACGATTAGTCTAGAAAACTGAAAATATCTGACTGATGAAAATATTTTCATTAAAACAGGAAACTGCTACAGAAGAGCCTTGCACACAAGAAAATCAGAGTTACAGGAAAATCAGAGTTACAGGAAAATCAGAGTTACATTACCTGAGCTTTAATCGATTATTTGATTTGGAAGAGTCTCAAAAAACAAAGTAGTACACAGGGAATCATACATTGGTTTTGGTTGGAAGGGGCCTTAACCATTTAGTCCTAAACCTTCTGCCATCAACACTCTAAAAATGCCAAGGACCTCCCTGACAATCATCAGCCTCAAAGCTGATTGCTATTTAGAAGGAAATTCATGGAAATTTGATGTCAAACCCAGGCTTTCCTGCCTGGAGATGCAGGTCTGAGCTTGTTGTGGTGGGCTGATAGAGATGGAAAATGAGAGGGGCTCGGGCCATGGGCAACACCAGCCTCAGCCAGGCTTGCCCTGGGGAGAGTGGATGACCCATTTCTGCAGGATCAGCCCCAAACCGACCTCGGGAGCTGCAGAGCAAACACAGTGGCTTTGTTTTCCTCTGCCTGCAGCCACCCTGCCTCTCAGTGAGCAAAAATCGGCTTTTTCAGCTGGCAGGGCACACAGGGCTGGGAGCGGATTGAGTCACGAGCTGGGCAGAGCCCGGCAGGCAGGGCTGGCAGAGGGACATCCTCCGAGGGCACCGCTGCCAGCGGGCACTGCCCACAATGTCCCCTTGTTGTGGCCAGAACAAAGGCTGCTCTTGGAGCCTAATGCCGGCTCGGGGGGGCTCAGGGACACGGGGAGGGAGCAGCACCCGTGGGTGTACAAGGAGGCTCCCCCATTGCAGGGCTCCAGGCTGCTGGACGTGTCTGGGCACTCTGGGAGGTAGGGCTTCCTGTGGGACCCACAGGGTGCCCACCCTGGCTTTGGCACGGGGGCTGGGGGTGGTGTTGGGGGTCAGTGACGCTGGGACAAGGCAGAGGTGGCTGGGGGACACGAGGCTGCTGCTGGGGCAGTGCTTGGGGCTCGGCTGGGATGCTCCAGGTGCATCACCGTTGGTGTATGGGATGGAATCTCTGGTGGGACTGAATGAACTGATTAAGATCACTGCCCAAGCAGTCACACCAGGAGCCAAAGGTGCACTTTAGACCTAGCAAAGAGGTTCTGGTCTTCCCTCACCTGGAATATATTGAATATTTTTTTGAAGAGTAGCAATGCAGTTGTTTCTGGCTTAATGTGCTGCTGCGGACCTGCCTTGGGGTGGATAACTTAAATCCATCTGGAAGCTAAATCTAGTGCAAACCAAGGCAGGTCACTTGATGGTGAAGCATCTCCACCTGAGCTCCCTGGTCTAGTGGATCTGTGTGGGGCAGGAAGTTTTCTGGGGGTCTCAGCAAGGTGGGAGGTTTTATATGCTCAGTCGGTTTTACCTGTTGTCGTCAGGGAATGGGAGTGATGAGGATCCTGATGCTGCTCTTCCCACTAGTGGACCTCACTTGCAAATACAAAGTCTTTAAATCCTTTCTTTTTTACATTCATGTGATTAGATTTTTAGGCAATATGTGCACCAGTTCTGTGTGTGAAGCTAGGGGGAAAATCCAGAGGCAAGTGCAGGGAGCACCCAGGATTTTCTGTATTTCAAACAGTGATCACTGCACCTTCCTGGGGACCTCCAGCCACCTCTGCCCTGGATAGCTGTCCCCAAAAATGCTTCCTTGCTTTCTAATCCCTGCGGCTTAGCAAGCAGAGTGACCAGGCTGGGCTCGCTGCCCCCGTCCCTTTTGTGGGGCAGGACAGGGGGTGCCAGGCTGCAGGGGCTGCAGTGCTCGCTAGAATTTCTGCCACTGTGCCCCATTTCCCCCTGAGTGACAGACGGAAAAATCGCTTGCTCAGGTCTCCGGGCAGCCAAGGAGCTCCTCTGATCCCTGGGGAAGGCAGAGATCTCCCAGCGCATCCCGCAGGCAGCAGCGGCCAGGATGCAGGGAAGCGCTCCCTCCCTCCTGCCCCGAGCCGGACACACAGACCGGGCTCACAGCTCATTAAAAAGGGACGGAAAGGTCCCCGCTCCGCCCGGCTCACACCCCTCAGTGGTTCGGCAGTCCCAGGGCGTCGCTTGTGTCTCCCTCGCTCCATGAGGACACGCTCTGCCCCTGGGGCTCGGGTTTCCCCCTGTCCCTGCCCCGGTGACGCTGCTGTCCCCACAGGTCCGGCAGAGCCGAGCCGAGCCGAGCCGTGCGGGACACGCTGGCCTGGCCTGGCTGAGCTCGGCCCCGGCCCCGCTGCCGGTCACGGAACCGCAGTGACCCGGACCCACGATCAGGATCATCAGCCCAGCCCCGTGTCCGGACCCACGAGGATCTGATATCAGCCCAGCCCCGTGTCCGGACCCACGATCAGGATCATCAGCCCAGCCCCGTGTCCGGACCCACGAGGATCTGATATCAGCCCAGCCCCGTGTCCGGACCCACGAGGATCTGATATCAGCCCAGCCCCGTGTCCGGACCCACCAGGATCTGATATCAGCCCAGCCCCGTGTCCGGACCCACGAGGATCTGATATCAGCCCAGCCCCGTGTCCGGACCCACGAGGACCCTCAGCACAGCATCCAGCCAGCATGGAGCCGGCTCCGGAGCTGAAGAGGTACCGGCAGGGAGCGGGATGGCGTTCCCCACCTGCTGGCTCTGTGTCACAGATGGGTGTGCGGGAGGCGGGAGGAGCAGCAGATGTGCCCGTGGCCTGGGAATATTTCCCCCTTAGCCCCTCCACAGCCTAAGTTTAGGAATAGTGAAGTTTTTAAGTTATGAAGATATTCTTGCAGTTTGTCTTCCTAGAAAAAACTTTTTCAACTAAAGAGGCTGCATCACCTAAAGTAGTAATGTGACTTCCCTGCAGCTGCTGTCCATATTGAACCCAGCTCTGCTCACAGAGGGAAGAGGTTTAACCTGGGAGCTGTGGCAGGACCAGCTGCCCGTGGGCATCCTGCTCCCTGCCAGTCCCTGCCTTAGTCCTGGGTGTTGGGGGACCAGAACCAGCCCAAAATGTTATTTGCAAGTTTTAGGATCTGCTCTGGATTTTAAGCAGATTTTAGAGGAAGTCCATTTGTTCCTGTTTCACCTTCCCAGCAACACGTGTGAATCAGTCTCAGAATCTAACCCCTGCCCGCAGAAATGGCAGAAGTGTCAGTGGAAGAGATCTTGGCATCATCTGTGCTGGTGAATGCTTGTGCTGAAGTCTGTTCAGGTCCCCTGGCAGGTCTCCTGGCATGGCTGGAAACATTTGACCTGTCAGAAATGGAATTCATGTTCGAACTGTTCCTCCCTGCACAGGAAAAGCCACGCTACCCTTCGGCATTTGAGTGGGAGATTTACTCTGAAAAGCACCTTGCTGGGCTCACCCAGCTGGGGGGGACAAAATAACCCTCTGGGGGTTGTGGTGGGTTTTGGAAGAGGCTGGGGGGTTGAGTGGAAATTGGAGGGAGTGGCCTGCAGCCAAGCTGGAGATGATGGAGATGGGCTGGTTCTGGCCTCTTCCTGATGAGCTCCTGAGAGCTCTTTCCTGGGGAGAAGGGAGGTCAGGGTGGGTGGAAGAGAGACACACCCCATGGACATGAGTTACATGACTGTGGCACTGAACTCAGATGAAATCAGCGGCTCTTGCAGCACTCTGGAAGTGCCCCAGTGTCTCAGACTTCTGGGATATCTCAGTATTTTCTTGCCCTCATTGACCAAAGCAGTGCAGTATTTGCACGTGGCCACTTCCCTGCCACATGGACAGCATGGTCCCTACATATTTGTATCTCAAAGCTCCTCTACAAACTCCCTTCTTTACTTTTCCACTTTCTGCCTTGTTTTTTTCTTCACTTGGGATTTTTTTCCTTGGCAGAGGAGACTATTGGGCTGGGATCTGCTATCTCAGACTGCCTGCCCTGAGGCATTTTCTCACAGCAAAGCCTTGGTGTGTCTAAACACATTATAAAGGATATCACCCCCAAGACTTGCTGTGCATCTCGAAATGTGGTTACCCAGGAGGTGACTCTTCCCTTTGCACAGAGAGCCTCATCCCAAGCCTGTCTTGGCTGAAGTGAGGTCCTTGCTCCAATTTAAATGCATCCCTTCCTTTTTGCCTCATCTTTGTTTTATATATGAGGCACATTGTCAAAGGAAAATGAAGAAAGGAAAATTTCAGTCTGATGCCTTCAGCTGCAATGACTGAACTGCTACGGTTCTGCAGGGGTATGAAAACCTCCACAGCACATCTCAGGCAAACACTGGAGCAGTGGCCACTTGTGGCTGCCCCATCCCTGGAAGTGTCCAAGGCCAGCCAGCTTTGACAGGGCTTAGAACAACCTGGGATAGGGGAAGGTGTCCCTGCCCATGGCAGGTGATTGGAATGAGATGAGTTTTGAGGTCCCTTCCAACCCAAACTCTTTTACTGACTCTAGGATTCTATGGCTATGATCAGCTACAAAGAAGTTTTGGCTTTCTCTAGTAAAAAAGAACAAAATAAATTATGGATTATCAGCATAGGAAAGTTTGTCCTGGAGCATTTTCCCTTTGTTCTGCATTTTCAGTGCAGCTTCAAAAAAACATACAGGTTCTTCAAATAACTGAAGTGCTATACTTTCCTTACAGGAATAGTTTCCCCAGCATGAACTTTGAAGCAGAGATTCTGACAACACCACATGATAATTCAGGTATTTGGGAGAAAAAAAAAGAAAAAAAGGAATGAAAGTAAAATGCCTACTCAGGTTGCTATCACTACAAACAGGTTTTAATTCTTTTGGAGTTAGAGATTGTTAAAAAAAAAAAAAAGACAAAGAAGCGGGATGGTAAACTGAGTGCAATTCAGGTTTCTGTTAGGGTAGAGTTCAAAGTGTTGAGGATAGACATTGATATCTTTACCTCCAATGGGGCTGGACCAGGAACACAGCTGCCAAGGACATGTGGTTTTGGAAAGAGCAGAGCCTTTCAATTTGAGATTGCAGTGTCCTGGATGAGACATACATGATTCTCTTATTAGTGGTGACTAAAAGCAGGTGATAAAAATGCAACTCTTTGAAAGGCAAATATGAGGATGAAGGTATTCTGCCAAGCCCTGTCCTTCATCCTCATTTCATTTAAGAGGAATAGCTGATTTTTCCCTCATTGAATGATGCCTTTTCAGCATTGAACTGAGACAGACCCAGCACAGCAGGGCACCTTCCCTTAGTCCTGCCTTTGCTCCTCAGCCCTGAGCAGCTGGCCAGAGCCTGAGCCCTGGCAGCTGCCCTGCCTTTAGGATGGGACAGCAAGAAAGGGAGACTTTGCAATAATTGCTTGGAAACCCTTGAGTATCCTAGGTTTTGGCTCAGAGAGAGAGAGATCTTGGTGTCAGTCACCCACAATTGAACAGGAGCCCATTCAGTGACATGTTTTGCCATCAGTTGCCCTGCTGGCCACGAGCTGCAGGTCCCAGCAGGGAATTCCCTTCCCTGGCAGCCCATTTCAGTCCCATGCTGTCCAGAGGCACCAGTGAGATGCACACGGTGGACTATTTTTGCTTCAGCTGCAGGTGGCAGTGTTTGTGTTGCATCACCCCTCCTGGGAGGTGTGCCCAGAGCTGCCCCTCTCAGTCACTCTGTCCAGCATGGGCACCAGTGGTGGCCACAGGTTTGGAGCCACTGTGTGACTCCCTTCACTTTTTCTTTAGTTTTCCAGAAAACCCCTCCAGTTCCATCCCTTGCAACAGAGAGCTCCCCACATCTCGCTAAACATTTTGGAGGCATTTTCCTCAGGCCCTCCTGTAATGATGAGTCACTTAGCAAACACGCTGATGTCAAAGGGTGCCCAAGGATAATTATTGAACCCTGAGTGTGAACAGTTTGGAAAGTGCATTGTCTGCATTGTTTTCCCAAATCCCTGTCTCTGTTGGGTTAGGCTGCGTTTCTCCCATGAGGTAAGTGCTTTGACCCCTCACATGCCTCAAAGCCTCTAACATGCAACCCCTGTTTGTTTCCCAAGAGCTCTACATGATCCCTGCCATGAGAAGCCTCACAGCTGAGGAGTATGTGGAGGCCTTTAAGGCGTTCTTGGAGCACTCAACAGAGCACCAATGCATGGATGAGTTCAACAGGGAACAAATGCCCACCATCGTGGCTGGGTAAGGAGCACTTCCCCCGAGGTGGGAAAGACATCTGTTATCCTGGGAGTCAGCAAAAACTTTTTTGGGGGCAGGAATGAACTTTAAATGCTTTTCAGTTTTAAGTCCCCTACTCGTGGCTTTTAGGATATTCTGTTTAATGACTCCAGAGTAAGTGCTGTTTCAATTAACACACTGTGCTGCCTCAGCTTATGTTAAGGAAAGACTCAAGATCTTATTCTCATGTCAATCTCTTTTCATTAGCTGATTTTCTGAGGATTAACGTTGGTTTTGTTTTGGTTTTGTTTTTTTTTTCCCTAAAAGAATGCTCTCTTGTGCTCTTTCCCTGTTTTTGCACATCCATCCAAACAGAAACACATATCAAATTCTCTCCTTGTGGCTAATTCATGGTTTTCCCAATCCCCTAAGACCTCCTTATTTCTATCCTAAGTCGATTTGCATTGGTTAAGTACCAAATGATAATCAGTTTTGTAAAGTATTGATGCAATATCTTAAGGCTGGATAACTGCAGACAGCTTCAGAGCTGCCTAGATCCAAAGCACAAGAAAGTCCTTTCAAATCTGGGTAATTTTTGGATGTTAGAGGAACTGTGTTTTACTCCATTGAGAAAAAATTTTACGCAGGCAAATTTTTATTCTACAGAACAGATATATATATATATATATATATATATATAATAAACAATAAAATAATCATCAAAGATTATGTTAAGAAATTTTAATTGTGAATTTAAATCATGGACAAAATTGTGGCTTTCTATGATGCTGATTTTTGGTTTGTCAAAGGGTCTTGACCCTCTTTAGGGCTAAGGCCCCTGGACTGCTCACACACTTCAGGACTTACTGCTCATCCCATTCCTGTGGAATCATTTCTGTGATGCCTCCTGAGACAGTGCTTGGGAAACTTAATCTGTTATTAAATACTCTGCTAGGAAGCATGTGACTGGAGTCTTTTAATAAGCAATTTTTCTAAGGTAAAAATTGTTGATGATTCAGACCTTCCTCCCAATTTCAATCCAGGATTAATGTCAATAAGAGATGATTTCCAGTCTCCTGAATAGCTTCATGATTTTGCTTTTTCTGAGTATTTATATCCAATATTCCCTCCTGAGGCTGCTGAGGCTTTCCCCAGCTCACCTTGTCCCTGCTTCTCCAGCAGTGCCATCCCAGTCAGGGACAGCCCCTTTGCCCTGGGCTTCCCAGAGGCTTTTTTTGCCAGCCACAGCCTGAAGAAATCTCCTTGGCAAAGGGTGAGAAACTCTGCACTGTGGCGCCTACTGTACTTTGAAATATGAGCTGGCTGAGCCATGCTGCTTATCACCAGTCTCAAAAGGGGTGATCAAATTTCTGTCCCAATTCATGTGCATAACATGAAAATTTCCAGGTTGTAAGAATGAAAACATGAAGTGGTGTGACACAGTGTGGTTAAGTAATTTTATTTATGTGTGTATTTGTGTATTTATCTTTCAGTCTGGGCACTGGAAAATCGACGCTCAGCGTTCTGGGAGTTGGGAGTGGCACAGGTGAGGAGTTTGGGGATGTGGCACAGGGGGACCTGTGGGCAGCAGAAGGAGATGCTGGAAAATTGGGCACTGAGGATTCCTCAGACATGAATGGCAGCATTGCCCACTGAAGCACAGAAGGGCAGAAGGAAGAGTGGAGCTGGGATAAGAGCAGTGCTCCTTCCCTTCCTTCCCCCTCCATCTCCCTTCTGAAACACTGCTGCTCAGATCTTTCTGGGCAGTGAGAAATGTGTGGTTTTAGCTTTGTTTCTACCTCTTGGTGACTCTCACCTGACTTCATTTGCCTCAAAGCAAGGACTCCTCCTTCTGGCTAGGTACAGGAGCATCTTCAAACCTTGTTGGAGAGAATTAGAGATATTGGAGAGGCTCTTTCCACCCAAAATCCTGCCTTAGACTATCCCCCCTGAAGGGATGTCTCCTTTTGCTTTGCTTTTAGGGATCCCAGAGGCCAAGGCTGGGCAGTGCCCTGCTCTCAGCACTGCAAAACCACTTGCCCACAACCATTACCTGCATCAGCTTTTTCAAGACATGTTTCTTTGTTACTCCTGTGTTTTTTACCCAGTGATAAGTAGGGTTTAACTGCAAATGATATTTTTCCCCAGAGAGAAACCTATCCTTTGGAAGAACAGCTTTAAAGTTGTTCTAAATGCATTTGTGTTTAAAAAAAGCCAAAACAACAAAACAAAAAAGTGGTGAAAGAGCCAACTTTGCTCCTAGGGAACCTGGGAGAAAATAAAGAGTAGAGAAAAGAAGCAGTGGTTTGATTTGTCAGACTTTACTTCTGCTTTGAAAAGTATTTTCAGCTGAATTTTAAGTGCTAATACTTTCAAATGAAAGCATTTTTCTCACTTTTTTTGGTTTTGTTTTCCTGAGTAAGAGAAAATTAGCATCTGATTGTTTCCCCCAACTGGGAATATGTTGGAGCATATGAGAAACCAAGCAGGAAGAAATGATTCAGTTCTCAATTACCCTCTATTTTCATTAAGTAATATAAAACAGAAATTCTGACTCCACAAAAGCACAAGGGGGAAATGAACTTTTAGCATCGTCCTTAAATTTCCTTATGTCCTCTTCAGAGGAGGTTTTAATGGGAAAATAAACTCTCTAAAATTCCCTGTGTTTCCTGGGTGATGCCAGGACAGGGGTCCAGACCTGCACCCACGTCTGCAAGAGCTGGGGCTGGGCAGGGAGAGAGCTGGGATGGCACCAAGTAAAAGGTTATATCTGATCCCTGACCTTTTCAGAGGTGGGCTCTGGTTTCACAGAGCCCCCAGAATTAGTTTAGTTGATGAAAATATTAATGGGGATTAGTGGCCGACTCCACACCCTGAAAGCCTCTGTTGTGCTCCAAATCACGTTTTTTCACCCACCCCATGTTTCCTCATGGCTGGTTGAACTCTGAGCTGGAACTTTCCAGTTGCAGAGAGGTTCCAGTCCTGTCCAGCCTTGCTGTGGTCAGTGCTGGGGGGTTGCTGCTGGCAGGGAATGCTGCAGCAGAGAAGTTCCTGCTCTAGAGGGCTGTTATTTTACTGCTTGTTTTTACAGACACCCTGGTTGAAGATGTTATTACCTGCAAACACTGCATTAAGGAATTTTACAAAGGTGGAGTGAAAAAACTCCAAACTTTAGCAGCTTTTAAGACATCCATGTGCTGCAGGTGCACCCATTTGCCTCCATCAGTGGCTCCAGGGCACGGGGCAGCGATGCTCTGCCTCTGGCCCTGCCCCAACCTGCAGGCAGCTCTGAGGGCTGCTGCTCCCCAAACCAGGCACTTGCACACTGGCACTAATGATTCAGCTGCTGGCTATTGGGATCTGCCTTCCTGTCAGCAGTATTGGTCCCCGCACCTCCAATGGGTGCAGCCTCAGCCTCCTCCCCTGAGCCTTTGGCCAGCCCTGCCCTGCTGCCACTGCATTCCTCACGGGCCTGGGGTATTTTTTTTTCTCACTTCAAAAGCCTCCTCCTTCCTTGGACGGCCCAGTAGTGCTGGCATGGCTGATATTTCCTCCCCTGAATTCTATGTACTGCAGCACCTGCCAAGGATGACAGCTCTTCCTGTGGCTGGTACATCAGCTGAAAGAGCAGGGAGGATGCAGGGTCTCGTGTCAAGACCTCTCTGTGTGACATTTGCAGGGCCAGGGCTATTTTTAGGCCCCACCATCAGCTACAGACAGGATTCTTGCAGAGGTCTCATCAAGGTGGTCACATGTGCTGTTTATTTACATAGTTTGAAGTGATCCAGGGGGACTCATACACTTGGCATTTCTGGGAAGTAAGCAGCATGACCTGTATCACTTCAAAGGAGGCTGGAAATTTCCCAGAACAGGAGAACAGACTGCTGCTTGCTCCTCCAGAGCTTACACAGCAGCACAGGAGCACCAATAGCTAAATTTGCAGGGCACTTCCAGACAAACATGTGAGTCTCTACCTGTATTTCCAAGATAACCATCAGTTAATTGATGCCCTGGGCTGAGGCCATGTGGACATACCCAAAGAGGGAGGATCCAGGATTCTGCATGTCAGTGGGTCATTTCTCTTGTGGTCAGTTCCCCAGGTGCTGGGGCTGTGTCACAGCTGTGTCAGCTGCCTCCTTGCACCCATTCAAACTTTTTGGGGTTGTTGAAAGCTGTTTTGTGGTTATTTTTGTAAACAGTGAGCTGTGATTCCTTTGGCCTGTCTGTCCCACGACCCAGGGTATTGCCATTAGCAGGTTTCTGTGCTGCTGCTTGTCTCTGCCTTGTTCTCAGGCTCCTCTGCACCTCTCTGTCAGCCTGAGCAGTTCAGTACCATGGCAGGAGTATCACCAGGCTCTGCCACATGAGCCACAAAGCAGAAAATGCCTCACTTCTGCTGGGGGATTTCCTGGCAGGAGTGGTGGCTGGTGCATCCTTCCATTGCATTTACCTGCTTTGTGTTTATTGAATAGGTGAGCAGGATTTGAAAATGATCAGGATACTGCAGGCTGTGCACCCAGGGGTCTTTATTGACAATGAGATTGTGGAGCCCAACCCACAGCACGTGGCAGCTTACAAAGGTAAGGCTACACCTGCTGCCTGGGTTATAGCAAGGACCATCCATTTCAATGATGAGTTTTTCTGCTATTTTATGAAATTCAGGGTTTTCTTCTACTTTTTGAAACAGAGCTGGTGAATCAAGCTCCAGACCTGCAGAATGTTTCTTTTATTTGGCACCAGCTCACTTCCTTGGAGTATGAACAGCAGGTGAAGGAGAGAGGCACACATAAGAAATTTGACTTCATCCATATGATCCAGGTAACGGCCATTGCTTTAACACAGGGCTATTGGATTTAACTGCCCCCTCCAGTTCTGCTCTCTGCTTGAATTTATGACCAGAGCTGAGCACTGCTCTCCCACAGCAATCCTGCAGAAGCTCTACAAACACCAAAGCTGGCAATGCTCAGTGCTGTGAGGTGTCCCTAAATGGGCATGTGGAATCAGGAAAGGCTGGGAAGCATCTGGAACAGAATTTAAAACACCTCTAAGAGAAAGAGTTTAAGCCTTTGGAGGGTCATTGCACTGTGGAGGAGGAATAATGGCTGTGTGCCACTGGCTCTTCTAGATGCTGTACCGTGTGGAGGATATTCGCAGTACTATCAAGTTTTTTCACAGCTGCCTTGACCATCATGGTAAACTCCTGATCATAATTTTGTCAGGTAAGGGAGACCTTGTATTTTTTTTTTTTTTTGCTCCACTGCTGGAGTTTTGAAGAGATTTGAAGTTTGAGAGCCACAAATATTTATCTGGGGATGTCAGTGGCGCTTATTTCTATAGTAAATAACTAAAAAAAAAAATGCTGGATTTCATACGGAGAATGCAATCTTGGGCATAGCCTTGGGGCCCAGTGTCTGATGGGACCACTTAGGCACAGTCTTTGTGCTCCTGCTTCCCTGCTTTTGGAATTGATGTAATAGAGAGAAGTGTGGCTGTCCATGAATGAGGGTCCATCCTTCCTCATGGTGAAAGCAGCACTGGAAAAACACAACCTGAGCTCTGGGTGGCAATGACCCAGAGCCCAGAAGGACAGCAGATGCTGCTGAGAGCTTCAGGCTTTATGGCAGGACAGGGAAAAAGGGGCACAACATGATGGCACTTCTTAAAAGAATTGAGTGTTTCATCCCTTGTGCCATTCATGAATCCCCAGCGCCCAGTGTGGTGGATAAAGCACAAATTTCCATGTTCCCCATAAAAACTGCCTCTCACATTGCCTGTAGGCTGTTTCCCTTGCTGTGTTTTTGAGGTATGTATTGTTCAATGAACACTTATAATTGAGGTTTGAGGTGTGAAAACATCTGCACTGCTTTGGCCAAGGCACGGTTAAGAGGTAGCACGGGATGTTCAGGCTCAGCACATTGGTACCTCTGTGTGTACCCCTCCTTCTGGGCAAATTCAGTCCTGGAGACATGTCTTAGGAGTTTCCTTTAAACAGGACAGTTTTGGAGGCAGGGCTGAGGGAAAGCAGAGTTTTATGAGGCGCGGGTATTTATGAGTGGGGAGAAAACTCTCCTCCTGCCGTGTCAAGGGCTGGGCAGGCAGTGAGGGAGCTTTTCCAGCTCGTTTCATAGTTGATTAGCCGGTCTTTGACTGCCTTGGCTTTGCCAAAATTACCTTCCCTTGTGCCCCGGCAGACAGCAGCGGCTGGGCCAGCCTGTGGAAGAAGCACAGGGACTGCCTGCCCGCCACCGACAGCGGCCACTACATCACCTGCAGCGGCATCACCGAGGTGCTGCAGAGCCTGGGCGTGCAGCACCGCGTCTACGAGCTGCCCTCGGGCTGGGACATCACCGAGTGCTTCAGCGAGGGGGACGCGGTGGGCGGCCGCATGATGGATTTCCTGACGGGCACCAAGAACTTCCTGGGCACGGCGCCGCCGGCGCTGCGGCGGCGGCTGCAGGCGGCCCTGCGGCAGCCCGAGTGCAGCAGCACCAGGGACGGCAGGGTCATCTTCAGCAACAACCTCAGCATGATCGTCGTGGAGTCCTAGAGCCCGCAGTGTGCCTGGACTTGTTTTTAACACCGTGCTCCTGCCCGTACTTTCAGTGGGAGTTGCACTTTGTGCGGGCAGCACGTTTGCACAGCCACGGACGGGTGTGCGCGGCCTGGGCGGCTGTGAAGGGGTGGCGGCCCCCTCACAGAGCTGCTGCTGCTGCCATGTGTGCCACTGATGCCTTCTGTCCCCTCTGGGTCACCAGAAACTGATGAATTGTGAAGGCTGACCTGGAGCAGAGGCTAGACAGTTTAAGAATAAAGTAGGGATTTATTAGAAGGCCTCAATGGATGCACCTTGGGCAGCACAAGAGCCCAGCCATGGCTGCATCCAAGATGAACCAAAATGGTCACAAAATGCACAACCAGTCACAGGATCTCATTCTTTTATCAGTTCTGCTCCATTTGCATCTTGGAGTTAATTGTCCAATTCCAGCTTCAGCCCATGAAGTCACATCCTTCTTGTTTTTCTCTCTTCAGCCCACGTTGTTTATGTTCTTGGGCCTGAGATTTGGATCATTTGTCCTTGGTCCCCAGCTAGAGCAGGAATTGTTTTGTCTCCCTACTCTGTGAAGAGAGCTTACTATCCCCTAATATGAAGCTCAGAACTACACACTAAAGCAGCACAGAGTCTGAAAAATATAAAAGCTAAAACCTGAGGCATCACCAGGACAAAACCAGCAAGATGTCCCTGCTGCTTTGCATCCGGGCCTGAGCTGCAAGTTGCTCTGCACTAGGCTATTTCACATGGTTTTATTGGCATGGACATTTACTGCCCCAAGTCTCAGCATCTCACAATATAGACATGTCTTAAAAATTTATCAGCCTTTTTGTTTGGAGAATATTTTGGAACCCAGGATGATACTTGCCCTGTGCTCTTTCAGGCAGACATTAATTTTGTTACTTTCTTACTACTGTTTGTCTCTATATAAAATAAAAGTAATCTTAAACCAAAATAAGTCACATCTGGTTCTGCACACGTAGTATTATAGAAAATGAAAAGCAAAGAGGTCATTGAGTTAAAAACCAAAAAATATGCAAAGTACCATTTTATGGAGGGCATTAAGGGTTTTTTGTAAGTGAGAAAGATGAGCCTGAGGATGTGGAAGAGCTGGGAGAGGGCTGCAGCTTGCCCTTCTGCTGCAGCCCTGGGAGGCAGCTTGGCTCTCTTGGAGCAGCATCACTGCAGCACAGCAAAACAGCACCAACGGCACTAAAATGTGGTGTATGTGGTTAAAATGTTAATATAGGTAAGTTGAAACTATTTCCCAAGGGCCCTGGGTTGTTCAGAGGGCTGAAGGAGGTGCTGTCGGGGCAGTCAGCTCCAAAGGGAGATGCCACTCAGGATGCCAGTGAGGTTTGGATTTGCATTTGGCACCGTGGTGCTGTGCAGACCTTGGACTGAGCACATGGGGAAGCTGCCTGCAGTGTCAGCAGCCTCACTGGAAACAAAATTCCCCTCTGAGGGGGGAAAACCCAGCTTGGGTGGGAAATAGCTGCAGGCACAGAAGCCATCTATCTCTATGTCTGATTTTTCTATGCTTAAGGTGAGTAGGACACACCTGTGTCCACCTGGAGGGGCTCAGGTGGAGGTGTGGTGTGGGTCAAATGGCTTCTTCCAGCACCATGAACATGTGGATCCTCACAGTGGCTTGCAAGAATTCCATGTCACTGTCACCCAGAGTCCTGCTGATCCTGCTAAAACTGTCCCACCCCACCCAGCTGAATGCAGTTACTGCCAGGGGCAGCATCACCCTGAAAAGGTAATGAACTTCTGGAATCATTGTGTCTCTGCTCTGTCCTTTGGGCTTTTTTGGGTATTTTTTAGGTTTGGGTTTTAGCATATCCTTTTGAAATGCAGCCATTTCTCCTGAAACTATTGTAACAGGAAAAATGAGCAAAATAATGGCAAAACAGCAGCATGATATCATCTCCCTGGTAGGACTGAGGCACCCTGGCCTGCAAGTACTATTGCTGTCAGTTCCAGAAAGGTCAGTCAGAACTGGACAGCCTCCTCCAGAGTACCCCATACCTGTGCACAAGCTTTTCCCTTTGATCCATCCTATTGTTTATTCCACAGGCATCCCCTTTGCTGGTGCTGGCTCCCAGCAGCTGGGCTGTTGGACAGGACCTCAGCACTGCTCCCATCACTGCTCTCCTTCCACTATGAATTCCCATGGTTTATTTCCAGTCAGCAGTGGTGTCTCTGTCTCTACCTGGTACATTAAGAGGAAAAACAAAAGGTACCATGAAACAGGCTTGCTTTTCAAGCTTCAAAGAAAAATCTACCTGTTAGTCTTTGCAGAAATTTGGCACAATACAGGTTTGCCCAGATCTTCCCCAGCCCAAGAGGTTTTCCACCCCTGCACAGACAGACACATTTCCAATAAGCAGATACTCAGCAAGACCCATCTGTGAGCACAAAATTTACCCACAAAATTGTAAATCAATGTGAAAATGCTCTAAAAAAAGGAGCACTTCAAAGCAGACTGTTTAGTGACAGGCTGGGGAGATGAAACAGGGCACCCCATTAAAAACACAGCTGATCAATGCTTTATATGTAATTTTTCCTTTGATTCTTCAAAAGCAAGTAGTTTATCAACAACTCTGCTTGTACACCTGGAATAAATAGCATCCTAAGTGTCCCATTTGTTTGTATATTTATTCTTTGGTGAACATGCTGTTTAATAACTATTTGTTTTGCTTTCTAAAGGATGCTGTCTTCCCATGCACAATTTCAGGCTGTGCTTCCCCAGCAACAGGAGTGTGGCCACGAGAGGGCTGCAGCAGCCAGCAGAATAAATCCACCTCAATCCACCTCCCTAAACTCTGGGAATGCTGAGCTGAAGCAGCAGAACCAGACAGTCAGGCAGACAAAGGCATCCAGCTTCCTCTGCTGGCTCATCACACCCTGATCCCAGCAGCTGGAACCACACTTTTTTCTGCTGCAGTCATAGGCTCTGACTCTGGGCTCTGGTTTGTAAAAAAGTCACGATGGCATAGCACAGCTGCCACAAGGAATGCACAAAATCTGCTTTTGGGTTGGTTGTTTTTCTCCCACTCAATGGCTAAAGTGCTACTGCTGGAGCTCAGGGTCTGCACAGGGACCCAGAGAGGGAAACACCAGGAGGGGATGGCAGGAGGGAGAGGCTGCTTCAGCCCCAGCTTTGAGCCAAATTAACCCTGCTGAGCTCTGTCCTGGAGAGCTGTGCTCCATTATGAGTCCCATGGCAGTTCCCATTAGTGAGGAGCCAGTCCATGTCTCCCAGAGGGATTTGTGATGCTCCATCAGCACCACTTTGTTCCAGCCCAGAGAGAATATTTTTGTGGATAACCATGCAGTAGGCTGCCCTGTGCTCTCTGCAGCAGAATCGGTGTCTGCAAAACCCAAACTATGCAGTTTCACATGGAGCAGTTGCAGATTTTTTCCTCATTTCCACTTCATAATCTGCCCATTTCAATGCACAGCTCTGGTTGTGTTACAGTCCCCTAAAAAGGAGCTATAGAGAACAAGTCTTTACCACATCAAGGATGGATAATTTTAGTTTTACTGGACCTATGTGCAGTCTTGGGGGCTGAGTGGTTTGCCTTTGAAGTGTTAAGGCTTCTCTACTCATGAATATCATCAGGGGAATGAAGGTAGCATGGGAACTGCAAAATCTAGGAGCTGATTTCTGAATAATCTCATTAAAAAACAAGCTCAGTAAAATACTGGAGCATATACTAAAAAGATTATACTTAATCTCAATAGGGGGGAAAATAAAGAGACTGAACTTTTTTCCCTCCCCCTTCAGCATTTTCCCACAGAAATCTATAGAGGCTTATATCAAGCATGTAGGATTGTGCTCACATTTTTGGAGCTTATAAAGGCCTTGATAGGAATAATAACCTCCTGGATAGAGCTCTAGAAAGGTATTTATCCTCCTGCTTTTTAAGCTGAATATTTTTTTCAAGATCCTATCCTCCAGACTGAGGATGAATATCTAATCCAAGTCTGAAATATCTTTATTATTGAGCATCGCTCCTTGTAGTCACTCCCCTCCCTTACTGAAGTATCAACAGAAACTTAAATCTTGCTAAATGGTGAAAGTCCTCTTAGGCAGAGAATGTGTTGCTCATCCCCCATTCTCCTTTAATTCCTTGTTAACAACAAATAAATAAAGAAAGAAACAAATCCCTCCAAGATAAATGTTTGGAGTAGAAGCTCCAGCTGGAAAGATCTGGTGCCAGAGGAGGGTGTGTGGAGCATGTGAGATGGCAGAATCCCAGTGGGGCTTTTCTTCTCATCTCTGAGAAGGAGCAGGGAAGAGCAGAACAGGAGTTTCATTTCCACTCCCCACTTCTGATGACACGTTTGATTAGAGGTGCCAGCAAATTGCTAGAGAAAGCATATGTTTTGTCATCCATTGTAATGATGGTTCCTCTGGTGAATTTAGAAGTGTGATAAGGAAATTTTCAGAGCGGTCTCTAAGTCCCTACTGCTTTGTTAACATTTTTTAGCATCCTATTAATCACTCTGTATGTATCTGTCAACAGCTGATATTATGGATTAAGGAAGATTACAGCTCATTGCTCCAGTGGCTGTTTTCTTTAGGATTTAACTCCACAGGCACTTTGTCACTTGCCTCCCTCTGACAAAACCAGCCCCTTGCTTTTGCAAACACTTTGCAGTGCTTCCCTGACTAAGAGTGGGTTTACTTTAAAAAGTATCAAAAGTGCTCACCCAGAAGGGAAACATTTTGATTTTATTATTTCTGGAAGAAGGGCTAGCACACTTTCAGTGCTGAACAAAGTGTCCACAAGATCCTGATTTACAGATGTTTCCATGCAGATTAATGTAGACTTTGTTTTGCCTTGCTTGTATAGATCATGTCACTTGTTATTTGGAAAAAGAGGATGTTATTTGAGGAAATTCAGAAAAAAGTTCTGCAGGTTCAATAAATTTAACTCATAGATTTTCTCCATTGTTTACTATCAGCTATAGGCCATTCTCCAGTT